CTAATTCGAAGCGTTTCTTTCCCCCATGCTGTGCGACCGAAGGCAGATATAAGTGTCAGAGTCAAATTATACAGGTCAGGCAGTCTTCCTCGTTCGCATGCAGGCGTGTTTGAAAAAAATCGTCTCTATGGTCTCGAAACGTCGAGTAGAGATTTGTCGCTCGTCCGTCCATCCATCCATCTCTTCTCTTCTCTCCGAGGGAGTAACAACAAATTCGACTCGTACGTTTCGAGCAAGTGCTTGTGTTCTTCGCGTGTTCGTGGGCTGAATCTGACACGATTCTCCCGAGTCTCTCCCTCAGCGCGTCATGGCGAGACTCCTCCTTAGAACACTGAGCCTCGTTCGAAGCCTCTCTTGTCGCCGCCTCAGATCCGCCACCTGGGCCATCGAGATCTGGTTCATCTCGTTCAACGTATCACAGTACACAGCCGCTTGTCTCAAGATCGCGACTTTCGGCGCCTTCTCCTTCTTCTCGACAGCTGGCACGAGGATACGCAGATCCTCGAACGCGTTTCGCAGCTCTATCCGCCTCTGGCGTTCCATGTTATTGTGCAGACTCCTCTTCTCGGTGTCCAGCTCGTCGTCAGAGGAACTTCTCGACACGCTCTTGGGTGACGATATGCATCGCCCTACCTTGGTTCTCCTCTGGTATGTCCTGTGGCGGGCTCGTTTCGCCGGCTTCGGCTCCGATTGAGCGGTCCTTTTCCGAGCTGGATTCGAGGGAGGTCGACCACGTGGTCTGGTTCCAGGAGCTTTCTCTTTGAACGCTGTGTTCACCGTTAATTGGAAGTGCTGTTGGTCGGCCAGGCTCGGGTACGTTGGTAATGCTGCCGGTCTGCATGGTTTCTCGAAGGTCACCACGTCGATCTCTTCCTCTTCTGTAACAGTTGAAGGAAGGAAAAAAATTTTTTTTTTATAATCGTTTGAATTATACGATACGATATATAGGAGGGGATTGTGATGGTGAGATCGAGATTGTGTATGTAATCGTTTTAGAGTAAAATATTTATGAGTTCAATGATAATTTCAAAGAATTCTTATTTTTTTTAATCGTATAATTGGATTTATATAACAATAATTAATTTTCAGCTCATTTGTTTTTCTCGTCGATTATAGTTTTAGAAAATTTTATCTATGTATATATTATATACATTTTATTTTCCAAAAAATGGGACAAAAATAAAATATATAAATTCCATAAAGATCTATTTTTTTTTAATCTATCGTATAGCATTATACGATAGATTAAAAAATTTCAACGTTACTTATTAAAAAAAAAATACACGAAACCGTTTCTCGTTACAGCAATTAACATATTCTCTAATACAAGTTTTTACGAGAAGTTAAAAAAATTACCCAGCATCGCTTAAATCGATTATTTAAGAGTCTAGTGCACAAAAGGGGACAATTAATTATACGACTCTTTGGCTCGAACGAAACTTGGATGCGATCACAGAGTGCACTCTCTCGAAGGACACTGCCACCCGCACGAGCCTCGAAGATGCTTCGAGATACGCTAGTGGTTCCAACTATTTTCTTTTTTCTCTTCTAGAGAAACTACTAGCATTTGCGGACAGCCGTGAAACGTCGCTAATTAGTCGGGACGAAACAAGGCTCGGCACTGTCTTAAGGCAATTCTATATTCAGGGTGAAGGCCGGCCACGGACAACGGAAAGAGATCGTGTCACGGTTCTCCGTAGAGCCACAGGTATACACAGAGCGGCGTAAAAACGTGAGAGTGAGCTTAACTAACGTATCAACCCTGAACTCTAACCGGATGCTATCAATATCGCTTTATCTCCAAAGATTCCCTTGGCTACGAACCAGAACAAAGAGACTATATCATTGCATACTTCGTACAGGATTTGCGTTAAATAAATTTTGACCACTATTAATAAATAATTATAGGATTTGATATAAAAAAAATATAATAACGAAAATTTTCTTACATATGTATATATAAATCTTCCGAAAGTTTCAAGATTCGAAATCATATCGATATCGATCCTTAAGGTCCTCCATCGATCATTCAGAAGAAAATATCCCGAATTATATCCCTTAACCTAGGCATTACTAACTCTATCCGATGATTTGAGAAATCCCTCGATCAAGAGGAACAAAAAGAAAGATCGATCGATGGTTACGATGATACCCTTTCAGAAGCACGTGGCTTGCGCGGAGGCGTTCGAAGGGACATACGACACCGTGGGCGTTTCTACAAACTGTGTCATCCATGGCGTCTGGTACAATCAGTGGAAATCCGGTTGGTCCAGATTCCTGTCTGCCACGGATACGGATCGTAACTCTTTCCTCAAGGACAACGTTCGGGATACAATCGCTCAATGTCGGCGAGCGCGTTTCACGACAAGGAAGCCTTTCTCTTACTGTACTTCCCTCTCTCTCTTTTTTCCTCTCTTTTTCTCTCCTCCTGTGTAGCGGTTCGATTACGTTCGCTCGATTTACGGATGAATTTCGTTCCGCAACAGCTCCGTTCATAAAACGAACCATTAATCGGGCGGCGATCATAAATATAATTGAATTCGGCTCGACATTGCCCACGGTTAAGCGTGTCTCGCGACATTTTATGAATATAATTTGGCCGAAGAGTTCGCGGATCTTTCTCTTTGATGAATTATGGAATTACTCATAAATTATAAATTACATTTAAAAAAAAAAACGAATGAAATATATTCTGTTTAGATTTTAAATGAAGGAAATATTGTAATTATTTCGAATAAACAAAATATTTGATAAATTATAATTTAATAAAATATCCTATTTTGTAACTTGTGTGTCTGAATTCTATCTATTTTTAATGGATATTTGGCCTATATTGCATTTTCAGATTTTTTTAATTGGTAATATGAAAAATATTCCAAGAATTCTCAACTTACTGTAAATGTTGGATGTAGAAAGGATATACATACTTTCATAATCAATAAATTTTAGGTAATAATGCGTAACTAATGACACATAATGTGACATAAATGTTTAAAATAATATTTTACAGTTCGATCGTGTCTGTATTTGTCAAAATGCGTTATAGAGAGTCAAAGAGTTAATAAAGATATGTACATCGCCGATTCGAAACGCGAAGTGGATAGTGAGGTATCTTTCTTTCACGTAAAGTGGAACCGCTCAGCTTTATGATCGCTGCATTTTCATGCATTAATATACTCGATTTATACGTATAGAAGTTGTCTTTCAATTCCGGTAATTTTATTCGCATAATACAAAGAGAAATAAAGAAACGAAGTATATAACATTACGAGATTCTTTATGCAATGAACTTAACCTGAAATTTAAAATTTAAAAGAGGAAGAAAGAAAAAAAAATCTAAAATAATGTTTATCTATAAGATCGAATTAATTATGTTAAATTTTTCTAATTTTATTTTATTTTATAGTTTACTTATTTTGTTTATCGAATTTCAATTCCATTTGATAGATTTATTAGGGTCGAGATTACGAAACAATCTATTTATCTTATTCCTTATTTTTATAATTAATAAAGATGTATATAATTATATAGATAACAATTCTTCTGTAATATAATTATATATAAGATTAGAAAAGTAAATTATGTAATATCGTAAGAAGAATTTAAATCTTTTATTATATCTATGAAAATTAGAAATGATTATTTTTGTTATGAACACTTCGATTTCTTTCATAATATTATTTTATAATATACGTATTACAAGAATTTTTTAATTGAATATAACCGATTTTTCCATCAGAATCATTGTCCATTAGAATTATTGTCTCCTTATATAAAATAGAATCCGTTGGAGATTTAAATTACAAAAATTCCTAACTTATCCCTATCTTGAAACACGTCACGCTCGGTGTGCAAAACATCCAGACACGTCTTCCGGTTTCACTTTACCTGGCCGCTGCAATCGCAGCGTGAACTTTTAATTAAGCCTGGTACAAACCGAGAAAAAAAATCTGTCTATCCTACTTCGATCATGCACCGATATTTATTTCGATAAAATACGATTATCAAATGACCGATTAATCTAAAAAACAAATATATATGTATATATATCAATTTAATCAAGAATCGAGAACAAGCGTTACAAGTATTAGTTAAAATATCCTATCCAACATTTATCTATCAATATATATCGAAATATTCTAAATATTCTATCATTCTTTGAAATGAAATCATAAAAGCTCCTACACCGTGCTTTACACGGATCAGATTGAAGTTATTTGAATCCTAACAAGAACCGCGTGAAGAAAATATTAAAAAATTTCCTTATGCTTTTCGAAACGATTAATAAGATATTGTAAGATATTGTAATTATCAATCAAGACAAGACATCAATCCTTAGAATGAAAATCACCCTACTTAAAATATATCAATTATAACGCTCGATGATTCGAAATCGTTTCCATTTAAAGCTTCAAACGGGGCCAAGCGGAAAGAGTCTCTCGAGGAACGAGGAAGAAGCCAAACGAGAGAGGTCGTATACATGTGGCACTTGTATCCCTGTGTGCAAGGCAACGAACGAAGCAATCCACCGCCTCCGTCATGACCATACATGCCGCTTGCACGTGTATCGTCGCGGCGGCTAGGCCAGACACACGAATCTTCCCGAAACTGGCGATCCGCCAGGTCGTCGACTGCGAAAAGGCGCGAAAATTTCTAAAAATAACTATAGGAGCCATCTAAACTAACTATAGAAGGAACATCGAGGGTCGCGGACTCGAGAGAACTACTTCCCCTTTGATTTCGTCTATTTTCCCTTCGAATAGCTTTAAACGTCGTCGACGCACGTGCCACCTATTTTCGCTTCACTTCGATTCACATACCGCTTTTCCACTCTTCCGTATTTCTTTTTTAATTTTAACCTTTTTTTTTTTTTTTTTTT